ACAAGAGTTGAAGACTGCTGGTAGCTCAACGTACATAGCCATTTGGATGGAATCTCGTCTACAAGCATGGCACGACACTCGGGCTTCGGCTGGACTTGAGATTCAAACGCAACAAAGTCGGGTGGATCAAATGGAGGCCTTGGCTATCTTAGGGATGGCGAAGGATGACTTGGAGCGTTCACAAGTTGTGATATCCGGAAAATTGGAGATTCCATTAAAACTTTCACCTCCCACTGTGGTCGCCAGTTTGTTTTCAGCGAAAGCTGTTTCCATTGCAGATTCCATTAAAACTTCGATCGTTTACAAAGAATTACAATGAAAGTAAAAGAAAATACAACTCTCGAGAAAATAACACAGAAATTGTTTATCAACTCCTGCTTTTGTGGGACTTTGCCTGTGCCGGGAACGCTTTAGTTCGTGGACCACCGATTCGTAGATCGTGAGGTTGTTTAGTGATCTCTCCTTCGTTTATCGAAGTAAAGATTTGAAAATAAATATCTTATCGATGTAAGATGTTCGTTCTTCCAAAGATCAAGTCTGAGCTTAGATCTCTAGGATTCACCAAATGATGTTTGTCAAATGGTGAAAATTCTCTCTTTCTTTCTCAAAATCACCAAAGACTCAAGTCTCTTCTGCTCCAAAATGCTCTCTGTCTTTTACTTCGTGTTTAGGGAGGTATTTATAGGGGTCTCAGTGTACCACAGTTGAAACGGAGGCGAAACAACTACCCAAGTGTTTCCTCTTTGGCCGCTGCAGTATAGGCTGCAGTACAGTGAGCTTCAAAAAATCATCGAATAACTGCCTTATAACTGCCGCATCATCCTCTTGTAACAACCGCGACACCATAGGCTGCTTGGTCTGCCGCGCCTTAGCCGCGGCGCCTTGGTCTGCCGCGCCTTAGCCGCGGCGCCTTGGTCTGCCGCGCCTTAGCCGCGGCGCCTTGGTCTGCCGCGCTTCCATGTGTTGCCTGTTGATATGTATATTGTTTTTCTATGTTGTCTTGAGTGGTGTTTGGATGTCTATAAGCATTTTTTGACGCCTACAGGGACATGGAGACGACACCTCACATGTCCCATGTAGGGTCCCATGTTTTGGGTCCCTAATGTTTTTTTTTTGTTTACGCTCCTAGTTTGGGCTATGAGGAGCTTTGCTATAGGGACCCAAAATATGGGACCAACAGAGGGGACATGTGAGGTGTCTCCTTCCTATTGCATAATGAGCTGGCCATCATTAATGATGACCAACAGGAGAGACAATAGGGAAGACATGTGAAGTGTCTCTTCCTATTGCATAATAAGTTTGTAATCATTAATGATGGTCAGCTCATTATGCAATAGGAGGGAGACACATTATATGTCCGTTCTATTGGTCTCATATTTTGAGTCACTGCAGCAAAGCTCCTTGAGATCCACTAATGAGATTTTGTAAATTAAAAAACGTTGATTCTTTTGATCACATACCATCTCTCCACTTCTACTCTATGTAACATTAATTTTTAGGGGTTTAATTAGGTGGTACTTTGTGAAACACGAACTTTTAAGTCTCCTTTGATATTTTTCATATGTATTTGATAAAAAAATATCAAATAAGTTCTATTTTAAATTTTTGGTATACCCTAACTTTTGAAAAAAAAACAACCTTATAAGCTAACGAATAGAAGTTACGTTTGATCAAAAACATCACTGCTCTACTTAAACACTTTTTATAATATTTTTAGCATAAAAGTCAAAAAGTCACTATAAATTCCATTATAACTTATAAGCTTTGGAAGGAAAAAAAAACCCTCCCAAACACCCCTTGAATATCAAAGTATTAGGTACATATTTCACATGGATACATCTTTGAAGTACATGCGCAAATCAAACACTAACATCTCACTTTACTACATTACAAAGATTCACAAACCATAAGTTAGCAAGTGAACTTTTATTCGATAAGAGGCCCTTGATGTTGAAAATTTATTTAATATACGAGATCCTTCAAACCTCTCTACAAGAAACAAGAGATAAAAAAAATCAGATTTTGTTAATAGCACACATGCGCAGAAGAACTCTTAGGCAGCATCCATTTTGTCATTACTATTAGAAATTTTTGGATGAATATTTTGATTAGCTTATTAGGAATAGTAGTAGGGTTCAGTAGGTTAGCTGCATTCAGAGCCAACGAGGGGACAGCCTAGGGACAACTATATATCAATTTAGCATTATGTTGTAGATTAGCATAACAAAGTACTTTTTGTTATGATGCCTCATCTATTCCTTTATACAAAAGGGAGAACCATAGAATTACTGTTCATGCTACAGTAAATTGAACAGGAATTGATTGTGGAGCCCACTTCCTTCCACTGACATATTTCCCACAATTTTAAATCACAGCTAAAAATTTGAAATTCGAATCTCCCCCAATTTCAAATCATTGTTGTCATATATCTGTATCAGCTCAAAATTTAAATTTCAAAACACCCCCAATAATTCTCACCCCGACCCTCATTCGTCAGAGATAAAAAAATCGCCTCAAGAAATCATCGCAAACGATCTCTGCCTTCCGATCCCCGAGTATAGACAATCGCCGATCCCCAAACCTAAGCTCAAACGCCTCAAGAAATCATCATCGTCGTCCTCAGCAGCAGAAGCAGCAATCCCCGCTTGGAGTCTTCGATTTCTCCAATGCCGCTCTCTGTCTCTATTCATTAGATCCCCATTTCTAGGGTTTTTTTAGCCCCCGCAGATCGAAGCTCGATTCCCCCCCAGATGTCTTCGCTTGCGGCGTTCTCCTCTGGCTCCAGGGCTTCGGTCTCGAATCTCCTACGGAGCTCGAGGAGTGGAGTGATCGGAGTGCCTCTTAGGATTTTGGGGGGATCGAGAGCGATGAGTTTTGATTTGAGGAGGGGGAGGAGGGTGAATGTGATGGCCAAGATCGTGAAGAAGGGGAAGGTGAAGCACGAGATCGATCCCAATGCCAAGATCGTGAATTTTTTTTTATATTACTTACTATGCTACGAATTATTCTTTGAGCTTTTGATCTTACTCACAAACTTGAAAAGATAGCTTAATTTTGGTCTCATGGTTTGTAGGTACAAAAGATGGCTGCTGAAACTGGACTAGACTCCATAGATCAGGTCTTATCTCTTGAGTCTAAGTATGAGCAGGTAATTTTTATTTTTTATTTTTTATTTTTGAAAATTCTAAGCTCACTTTTTAGCAATTAGGATGCTTTCTTTTTTAAGAAAATAGCCGGTCCTTCTGTTCCTAAACTATAACAATTCAGAAAATAAGGGAGATGTATTGAAGCAGTTTCAGTAAATAAATACAAGAGGAACATCATATTCAATCGAAAAATTTACTTAAGAATAATTTGTTCAGCCTCGATAACAGAGGAGAGTCATCACAAATGCTAAGTCAAATATCTAGCCAAGCATCACAATCTATCTCTGATGACTTCCTACAATCGACTGAAAGAAAGAATCTAGATGAGCTACGTGAAATTCGAGAGGTAAAGTGAACAATAATACTTATTTTTAAATCTGTATTTTTTCATGTTCAATCTGTAGTCCTGTTTGAAAGTAATGACATTGATGGCAGTTTTTCAGAATCTTTTGCTTCCATTAGTGTTATTGCATGACTTCTAAACTATGGTAAAAGTTATCGTTTAATTCCAAACATCATGACCCATGAGTAAAATTAGCATATGCATCTATGTTACGTTGGCGACTATTATATACATTGAGAAAGAATATAATTGGTTTTAGAATGCTTGCAATAAGTGTAAGAGGAAGGCAAAGCCTGATGGGGGAAAATTTAGGTGTGACTATTGTCATGAATATGTGAAGGTGGTTGTGCCAACGTATTATAGTTCTAAAAAAATACAGGTATTATTAAGCTTTAGTTCCTTAATTTCTAAATGCAACAAAAACTGATGCAACAAAAACTGTTTTTTGAAAGGCATGTTTAAAGATCTATAAGACATTTTAATCTTAACTTTTTTTCGGTAGGGCCATGGAGAACAGCTGCAATCCCCAAACTATAGTAAATCTATGAAGCAGCTTGATAAAACTGAAAAGGTATTATCTTCAACATAATAACTCATTTGAGTATTAGTATTCGTTAATTATGGAAAATGACTTATCTTAAGTATATAACATGAACAATTTTAGAAGCTTATAGAATCTTTCTTGAGCACTTATAATTCAAATTAGGCTTACTGAACTTTGACTCCTTTAGTTTTAAATTCAACGATTATAGTTCTGAAAATAATTAGGTAGTATTCTACTTTGATTCTTTTTTTTTAAATGTAACAATTATATTTCTAAAAAAAGGGCAGGTATAAAATAGAGCTACTAAGACATGTTACTCTTAAATTTTTTTTGTAGGATATTGGAGAACAATTTCAGTCCCCAAACTACATATCTACGTTACATCTTAATGCCAAGTTGTCCTGTTATGTTACTACTTTGTTATTGTTTATTCAGGCACAAATGATGCTTTTAATGAAACCACAGGAATTAGATGCAACAAGAGGGTGCAAACTTTGAATGAGTCAAGGAACACCCATGAGTGATATTTCAAATGGTAAGTGTAAGACAATATTTTTTAGTTTTCCTGTTAGAAAAAAATGCATTACAAGAGAGAATATCTATTGAAGAGTTTACAAGTTTTATGAATTGTTAGTATGTGCAGCCTTATCAATTAAAGCTTAATCCACTTTTTTCCAGACTATTTTGTTATAACTCAATTAACATGTTTATTTGGAATAAATAAATCTTATAATTATCTATAACTTGCAGCTGGACATTCAGCTTAATCCACTTTTTTCCAGACTATTTTGTTATAACTCAATTAACATGTTTATTTGGAATAAATAAATCTTATAATTATCTATAACTTGCAGCTGGACATTTTATAAAAATTATTCGTACGTATTTTAACTGAAAACCAACAAAAATGTATGGAAAATAATGAAAATTTGTCCAATATGTGACGTCACACCATCAATTTTCTTTTACAAATTGTAAGTGAAGGGTTTGCTTTTATGATGTATTTTCAACTGCAGTTAGCCAGGTACAAATGGCAGGAATCAATATATGTGTTGTATGATGGACATGTTCTCAAAAATATATCACGATTGCCAACTTTTACATAGACTCATAAGTTAACTAGATAATAGGTCTAAATAGGGGTTCTGCAATATTTTCTCACACAAAAAACTCTGCAATAAGGGGACACATATTGCAGATTTATCAAAAACCCGATCAGTGCATATAAGTGTAGTTCAGTTAGAAAAGTTGAATTACTTACAACACATGCTAATATCATTGAAGTTGCAAAGATTGAGCCACCAAAGCCATCTTGGAACCCAATGGATACAGCAAGCGCTGTCACTGTCGCAGAATGGGATGATGGCATACCACCAGATCCGATAAGTTGCTTTGCATCCCAACGTTTTTCCTTGTACCTGCAAGTTAGGGGAAAGCATTAAAATCTTAGAGAAACGAGGGATTATACATGCATGTTAATTTCTTTATCATAAATATAATTGACTTCTTCAGAGCGAGATAAACATGACTGAAAACATGTTCTGCATATATAATATTCTCTTAAGACAAAGACGGAACTTTGATTTCAACTTGAAATTTAAGTTGAAAACTCAGAACCCAGAAATCTCATTTCTCTCTCAGTTTCAAGCAAGATAAATGAAAAGCTAGAAATTGGAACAGCAGCAGCTATTATTCGCAGAACAGAAATGGGATCAAGTCACATAAGTTAGTTCACTTTTCTTTTTCTTTTTCTGTGGGATATATGTTCAAAATTTTCCCGTATTCTTGACAAGAATATTCACAATACTAATGAGAAATTCATCAAAACTGCAAGATAACAGATGCACCACTCACATTAATCTATCCAAGAATGCATCCTCATGCCACTCAACACCCCCACATTAACAGAAAGGGGTTTTACCTAAACACTCCACAAATCAACCATATCTGCAAATTCACCACTCAAATCTAGATATTTGCTAATTGACCACCCTCAATCGTACCTTATCGAGTTAAAGCATACCCTAAAACTCATGTTAAGTAACATTCCTTGGGTATTCGTTAGTTGATTACCCGAGTCTTTCCACTTCCACCGTCCGAAAACTAACAAAGAAGTCAACTTCCGGAGTATTTTAACTCAACGTTGCAGAATTTCGTGTAAATTAGCAAGTATCTAGACATAGAGGGCAAATTTGCAAATATTGTTGTTTTGGGGGCAACGAATGTAAAAACCCTAATAATATTTAGATATCTTGAACGAATACGACGGCAAGAACGACAAAGCCCTAACCTATGAATTCAAGATCATTTCTTTACCCATTTCTCCAACCAATACCTCGATTCATGAACAAATTGGTACAGTATAACGAGAGGAGAAAGGAATTACCAAGAAGTGAAGAACTTGATGAGCTGAGCAATGGCGAAGGCCGCGAAAGCTGAGATCAGAGGGTAATTCTGTAATATCGCGAGAGATCCATAGGACGAAGACGCCGCCGGATCCGTCGAAGGAGAAGCTCCGCCATCGTTGAGCCCTCTCATCTCCCTCACTTTCTCTCTCTAAAACCTAAAAATGGCGATTATTTTCGCGGTCCTGGAGATGTGCCGGGCTTTATATAGTACGCGTTCGAGCCCCCTGCGAAATTTACATGGAAGTCCTTGTCGAATGTAAATATTGGTTTTGAGTCCTCTTGATATTCTATTTTTGTGTATGTTATTAGTGAAGAAGAACGTGCCGAAAAAGTGTAAGGATTGGATAAGTAAAGAGGTTTCCGTAATGTTTCTAGTAAAGTACGCAGAAGGTTCATGTTTGTACGGAACTAATAAATCATGAAACTCAAATGAAAGGCTCCGTCTTAATATGGGTCGTTAATCATATGCATATAGATCAAATAAAGGACAATAATTATTTGTAGGACTCATATCCGATGCATAAAGATTAAGAAAAAGTCGCATCAGAAACATTGCTCATCAACTAGGAAAAACGTGATTTTAACCGTGATAATTGGTCTGTACGCCAATGTTTTTATTCCCTCCAGATTCTCCATATGCTTGAAGCACGTAGTACAAATCATATCAGAACACTTTTCATATTCCATATCCCATATTCCAAATGTTCTGATGTCCGTCCATCAAATGACTTAAATATGATTTTATCTCGCTCGTAATTATTCACAATTTTTTCTTCTCGGTTTTGGTTAGTCTTCATTAACCTTCGTGCTTGTGAGGTTACTTGCCCAAATTTCCTTCTTTAAAGCACCATGAAAATTAGACGGTCACAAGTTTAATTGCTTACCTTGATAAATTTTGGAGCTATATTTAGGTTCATTATCAATAATCCTATTTATTTGATGTATTATAGATAAACATCTTGAACTTCATACTTTAAAAAAAAAATTACCAACCAAACACCACAAAATCCAAATATCTCATAACCCGACATTCAAATTGCAAGCAAAGATGAGCGTTGCATGGTTGGATTTCAAAGGTTTCGTAAAAAAGTGAATAAATGTGATAAACTGGTTTAAGCATATATTAGAAGAAGTAACACACTTGAAGGATTGAATATGAAAAGAAATTAGCACTTATGTTACAGTTATTAAACAAATATAACTTGGAAGGCATTCATAATTTGGATGAATAGAAATTTCTTACCTGGAGAGAATAAAACTGAGTCACTGGAAAAGGGGGAAAAAAACTTGAGTGTTGTTAATTTGGAATCTATTCCTTTATACAAAAGGGAGAACCAGAGAATCACTGTTCATGCTACAGTAAATTGAACAGTAATTGATTGTGGAGCCCACTTCCTTCCACTGACATATTTCCCACAATTTTAAATCACAGCTAAAAATTTGAAATTCGAATCTCCCCCAATTTCAAATCATTGTTGTCATATATCTGTATCAGCTCAAAATTTAAATTTCAAAACACCCCCAATAATTCTCACCCCGACCCTCATTCGTCAGAGATAAAAAAATCGCCTCAAGAAATCATCGCAAACGATCTCTGCCTTCCGATCCCCGAGTATAGACAATCGCCGATCCCCAAACCTAAGCTCAAACGCCTCAAGAAATCATCATCGTCGTCCTCAGCAGCAGAAGCAGCAATCCCCGCTTGGAGTCTTCGATTTCTCCAATGCCGCTCTCTGTCTCTATTCATTAGATCCCCATTTCTAGGGTTTTTTTAGCCCCCGCAGATCGAAGCTCGATTCCCCCCCAGATGTCTTCGCTTGCGGCGTTCTCCTCTGGCTCCAGGGCTTCGGTCTCGAATCTCCTACGGAGCTCGAGGAGTGGAGTGATCGGAGTGCCTCTTAGGATTTTGGGGGGATCGAGAGCGATGAGTTTTGATTTGAGGAGGGGGAGGAGGGTGAATGTGATGGCCAAGATCGTGAAGAAGGGGAAGGTGAAGCACGAGATCGATCCCAATGCCAAGATCGTGAATTTTTTTTTATATTACTTACTATGCTACGAATTATTCTTTGAGCTTTTGATCTTACTCACAAACTTGAAAAGATAGCTTAATTTTGGTCTCATGGTTTGTAGGTACAAAAGATGGCTGCTGAAACTGGACTAGACTCCATAGATCAGGTCTTATCTCTTGAGTCTAAGTATGAGCAGGTAATTTTTATTTTTTATTTTTTATTTTTGAAAATTCTAAGCTCACTTTTTAGCAATTAGGATGCTTTCTTTTTTAAGAAAATAGCCGGTCCTTCTGTTCCTAAACTATAACAATTCAGAAAATAAGGGAGATGTATTGAAACAGTTTCAGTAAATAAATGCAAGAGGAACATCATATTCAATCGAAAAATTTACTTAAGAATAATTTGTTCAGCCTCGATAACAGAGGAGAGTCATCACAAATGCTAAGTCAAATATCTAGCCAAGCATCACAATCTATCTCTGATGACTTCCTACAATCGACTGAAAGAAAGAATCTAGATGAGCTACGTGAAATTCGAGAGGTAAAGTGAACAATAATACTTATTTTTAAATCTGTATTTTTTCATGTTCAATCTGTAGTCCTGTTTGAAAGTAATGACATTGATGGCAGTTTTTCAGAATCTTTTGCTTCCATTAGTGTTATTGCATGACTTCTAAACTATGGTAAAAGTTATCGTTTAATTCCAAACATCATGACCCATGAGTAAAATTAGCATATGCATCTATGTTACGTTGGCGACTATTATATACATTGAGAAAGAATATAATTGGTTTTAGAATGCTTGCAATAAGTGTAAGAGGAAGGCAAAGCCTGATGGGGGAAAATTTAGGTGTGACTATTGTCATGAATATGTGAAGGTGGTTGTGCCAACGTATTATAGTTCTAAAAAAAATACAGGTATTATTAAGCTTTAGTTCCTTAATTTCTAAATGCAACAAAAACTGTTTTATGAAAGGCATGTTTAAGATCTACTAAGACATTTTAATCTTAACTTTTTTTCGGTAGGGCCATGGAGAACAGCTGCAATCCCCAAACTATAGTAAATCTATGAAGCGGCTTGATAAAACTGAAAAGGTATTATCTTCAACATAATAACTCATTTGAGTATTAGTATTCGTTAATTATGGAAAATGACTTATCTTAAGTATATAACATGAACAATTTTAGAAGCTTATAGAATCTTTCTTGAGCACTTATAATTCAAATTAGGCTTACTGAACTTTGACTCCTTTAGTTTTAAATTCAACGATTATAGTTCTGAAAATAATTAGGTAGTATTCTACTTTGATTCTTTTTTTTAAATGTAACAATTATATTTCTAAAAAAAGGGCAGGTATAAAATAGAGCTACTAAGACATGTTACTCTTAAATTTTTTTTGTAGGATATTGGAGAACAATTTCAGTCCCCAAACTACATATCTACGTTACATCTTAATGCCAAGTTGTCCTGTTATGTTACTACTTTGTTATTGTTTATTCAGGCACAAATGATGCTTTTAATGAAACCACAGGAATTAGATGCAACAAGAGGGTGCAAACTTTGAATGAGTCAAGGAACACCCATGAGTGATATTTCAAATGGTAAGTGTAAGACAATATTTTTTAGTTTTCCTGTTAGAAAAAAATGCATTACAAGAGAGAATATCTATTGAAGAGTTTACAAGTTTTATGAATTGTTAGTATGTGCAGCCTTATCAATTAAAGCTTAATCCACTTTTTTCCAGACTATTTTGTTATAACTCAATTAACATGTTTATTTGGAATAAATAAATCTTATAATTATCTATAACTTGCAGCTGGACATTCATTGCTACATTCGGCCAATTCTATTCTAAGGAATATTGGTGCCAACTCTAATTCATCGCCAAATCAGATAGGCATATTATCAAATTCCCCTAATGGACTCCTCAAGTGCTTTAGTGAACTTGACAGATGGATCAACTTCTGAAAATCAACTATATATGGATGGCAAGGGTGCAAATTGCTTTCAAATGAACCAAAGACAAGCTTTGAGAAACCATTAGTTTACTTAGCTTCTCAAGCAATGTATACTTTCCACTTGGTTACCTGAAAAATTGTTTTTGAGTGTTGTTATTCTAAAATTAGTCAATTTTGAGTTATTTATAGAGTTTGTATTCTATTTTTCCATTTGACATCCTTTTGGTTTATTTTGTTCTTGCAATTACAGAAGCTAGGACAACAGTTTCAACGACTCCAATATCTTTTACTTTTGTCCATGTTTTCAGTAAGATTCAAGGATCTACAATGGAATCAAGGATTTGTTTGCTTACTATTTCAATGAGAGACCCAATCCCAACTTAAGCAGCTCTTCAAATTTAAGGTTTAATTCTTACTCTCCTTTTGATTTTACTTCAGCCATTATCTTGCTTTTTGCAAAGCTTTTTCATCATTAAATATGTTTTTCAACTGCTCCACCACAGATTGATGGAAATGAAAGCACATTAAGTCTATTAATAAGACCGTGGATGTTTTAGTGGAGAGCTCAATGGACGCCTTAACACAAGCATCTCTTGAAAGCTAAGAAGCAATTCTCACTCTCTTTTTTATTTAATTTTTTTAAAAAGTCATAGCTTACTTTAGTTGGAGTAATGTAGCTAAGATTGGATTTATCTTGAACTTTAAATTTTGTTAATGCCATTTTGTTTAATATTGTATTTCTTAGAGATTGCCTTTGGGGTTTGCTTCGACACGTTTTCATAGAAAATGAGAATTGGTGAAGGATGTTGTCTTTCTACGCTCTTTTCACTCCGTCATGACCACATCTCTAAACAACTAAAATAGCATTCATTACTATATCATGTGACAAATTAACTTTGTCCTATATTATTATAGAAATATAATTTTACAACCACGTGCAATTTGAGCGGTTTAATCCAAAAATTAAAAATTAAAATAATTATTTCCACCTCCTCAAATGTCTTTTACCATTTGTTTGAAATTCAAATACAACCAAGGTAATGAATGCATCGATTCTCCCTCCAAACTCATGTTTCTCCCTCCAAGTACCCACTATTATACAATTACATTCATTACATTGATAATTCACTCAAGAAAATTAGCTCTCACTACATTAGGTAATTCGAAAAACTCTTCTTAAGTCTAGCCTTTGATATTATCTCCACTCTTATTTGCCAT